GTGGGGGGAGAAGAGGCAGATGAGGGGTGTGTTAAAAAGAAAACCCCCTGGGTTTACACTGAATGTGACAAAGCTTCTGAACAATCAATACAAACGGTAGGTGAGCTTCATGTATGAGCTTCATAATAGAATCTTAAAGAGTAATTCAAGTTCTTTATGAAATAAAACTGAGAAACAAAAATGTAGTTTCATGGACAATTAAATTTAACATAAAACAAATTCACCTAAAATGAGAAAACAACAAACAAAACAAAAAACTCAACCAAAAGGACCTGTAGATAATATCTCTGACCATGCATGGCTTGTTTTTTAAATTACAATTCACAGAATAACACTGCTGGAAAGCCTATTTTACACTATGCTACACAGAAAAAACATGAGTAGTGACATTTACACAATTTTACAGTATTTCTCCTTCGTCTAACAAACACGTCCTTTTCTACTTTACATTTTTTTACAATTCCCAGCTCACAAAAAAAGGACACTATACGCGCAAACACAGTCTTTAAAAAGGAGAAATGCACCCAATGCTACAAATAAACCTTTTCTTTCACAGAAGCCTCTGTATTAGTGATTAAACAAAATATATCTCTATCTGTCACTCAATGTGAAATGGACTAATTAGAAATAATTTTAACTTTAGCGTAAACATAAAACTGTACAACATCTTTGAAACTCCTTGCATTACTTGCTATGTAACTATTAAACTGCTTGCCAAAATCTGAAATGCCAATTGAGCCAGTTCCTGCCCCAGTCAAAAAAAAGGAAGGTAGGCCTTTCATGTTGTTCAAGTGTTTGCAAAGAATTTTCAACAGTTGCCTATAATCAAACATTTTCTCTTTCAAAAATGCTTCAGTTTATTTTCTTTCAGAGCCTGTAAGTACCTGGCAGTTTTCCCTGCGGAGAAACATCAACAGTCGTAGTCCTTACAGCTTAGGCAAGTGTTTCTTGCATCCCGATGCTGGAAAGGCAGAGCCATCATCCGAACACGGCACGGGGTCAGGCTCTCTGGCTATGCATGCACGCACAACTCGCCTCGAAGATAACGAGAGGAGCGGTACGTGCGCAGTGAGCGTACAGGAGTGAAAAAGAGAGAGGAATATGCTCATGCTTCTGGCTGACACCACGTCCCTGAACAGCCTTTAGATAAAGGCAAGGCAGTATGTATGCCTGCCTAGGAGTTGTAGTGGGAGGATAAAGGATGTGAAACTGGTAGGCTGCCACCTTGTCCCCATTTCATCTCAGTGAAATCAAAGCATTGTAAAAACAATAACCACACAGCGTACACACACCTGAATCCAGACTACAACCATCACCCAAATGGTTTAAAGCATTTTGGATAGACACTTGCTGTTGTGACGCTACTGGGGACACTGGTGTAGAGAGGATGCTTGACAAAAGGAATTGTGCCCCTTAGGTTTGCAGTGGATGGTGCAGTCCTCACCTGTGACTTTTCAATGGCTTTTAGCATTTGCCAGGGTACGTTCAGAGCATAGCACAGCGGGGGGTTGAGGTGCTGTCCTGCCACATTATCTAGTACCTTGAGGGGGAATGGAGCACATTGCAGGAGGCCTTTGCTGTTCAGTCACACCAAGACTCTGACTCCAAATTTCTGTTAAATTGGGGCATGAACTCTTACCTAGATATTCAGATGTGACTTTCTGTTAAGCTAAAGCCAAAGCCTTGTGTATCTACAAATCTGATGCCTTATTTTGCTGACAGAGTCAACCACTGCAGAGATTTACAATAAAAGGGGGTCAAAAGAGAAAAAGAAATGTATTTCAAAAACTGCTTTTGACGCTGTTTCCAGTATTTATCGGAGCAAGAAAGACCCTCATTAAAACACCATTTTTTTTGTTGATTTTGGATTATGGACAGGGATCTATCAAACAGAAGGGTCACACACAGCAGCCAAGGGGCTATAAAACATCTGGAATCCATGAGCCTGGTGCCTGGCCTTACTGAAAGGTGAAGACTGATGAATTTAATTTTTGTTGGGGATCTTTCACTCTTGATTGTGGCACACAGCATTCCCTGGGGGTGTTTCTTCACCGCAGTCACATAACTGCTACTGAAAGTTATCCCTCAGTTGGGAGTGAGGGAATACAAAGTATTCGTATGCAGTCTGCTTTTAAACACCAAGGGAGATGAAAGGAAATTAGGATAGCTTCCCTTTGGCGGGCATTTCATATGCGAAAGTTTACCTCAGCATCCAACTCAGGAAGGCAGTATGGTGGTAGACAGACAGACAAGTTACTGGCAGTAGATGGGTGCTGAAATGAACACCACCAGCGGCTCAGAGAGCTTGATGGAGACACAAAACTCTAGGCACTATAACTACAGCTGACTGGTACTATGAGAAAGAGAAGAGAGGTAGTTATTATGGCTGCAAGTGCTTAAAACCAGCCTTCATGGATCTCTAAGTGAGAAATGGGAACCTGTTACTACATTGTGTTTCCAAGACCTTTATACTTGACACAAAACCAATCCATATGTCACACACATTTTAAAACAACTGTTACATCCTTATGGTGGGTTCTTCTGATGATGGAGGGGCAGGCAGCAACTCAAAACCCAAAGGTTACAACCTGATTGGATAGACAGAGGCATGCAAATGCAACCAATTCCTCCATTTCATCTGGAATCCGCTAGTTAGATGAAAGGGAACAAATGTTATTCCCACAGTCAGGACATGCTGGCAGACTCCGGAGGAAATACTACCACCTTACAAATTAGCACATTGGGCCACTGGCCATTTTTATCAGGAACCAAAATGGAATTTTTTTCTGCAGTTACTGCATTGTTACTGTGTTTGATGATCTTGTTGCAATAAGCATTGAGGAGAGTGGAACTAATCTGACTGTACACTACTGCATAAACAAAACCAAGTTGTCCTTCAGAAAATTTGGTATCGGTTTTACAGATATAGAGCAGGAACAGAAAGACAAACATAATGGAAAAATAGGCAAGGAAGAATATGCTTCACGTGTAAGACACTTGCATCCAGAGAATGTGAAAGAAACCGTTTTTTTTTTTCTGAACTTATTCTAACCCCATTCCTCATATTTAATTTTCTCCTCGATAAGGAGTCTATGAAGTTTTACACAATTTTTGCACAATTCTTTGAAAATACATATGCCCAACTATTAGTAATTCATCAGCTATGTTATGTTTCAGGCACAGATGCTGTACTATGTCCAAATGAAACACAAATTTGTTTCCTGTTAGCAAGTGGTCACCAACAGACACCTACTTTGCACATTCAGCATATTTTAATTAAAAAATTCCATTTTAAAAACTTGATTTTCTCCCTCCAATCAAATATAGGACCTCTGTCAGCATAAATGTACTTTGTTGCATTTTTGCTGCTTTTATCACTTAGCAAGTATCACAGTTCAACATAACCATTACATTCAGGGTGTCTTCCTCTTGTTTCAGACTTCAAAGACCTCCTCAAACCATCATTTACCTTCATTTCATTGTTCTAAGCATCCTTAAGAGAGATTTAAAAAGTCCGTAATAGTGACCAGGACATAGAAATCTACTTTAAAATCTAGATGCTTGTAGGTCTTGCTTATTTTACAGTGAAATTAATTATATGCCACTTCTGTTTCCTAACCAGCCTCCTCCTTTCCATAGCTTTCAAATACACAACACATTTTATTAATTACACAACTACTGCCTTCTGCCTACTTGTAAAATTGACTTTTTAACAAGCTGAGGGGAAAACCACATCAAACTCAATGCTGTCTTTAAAAGCCTTTGCTCATTAGTGACTTTTTACGCCATGGACTTTGACACGTCAAAATCCAAGGCATCGGCAGATAAAGATTGAAATGTTACGATCAGGAGGGTGGACAACATAGATACGATGTTCAACCGCAGGTCTCACTGCAGTATTGTCAGCTACCTGGTTCTCTCATCACCTGGATGCTGTGCTGAATGCGATGTGATGGATGACCGAGGTTTCAAAGGTTTATTGTGCTTGGTTCAACTATCCTGAACAATCTTCAGCGATTATCCTGTCCTTAATGAGAGCAGGGTAGAATAACGTGAAGTACCTGACTTAGCCTGGGTGCCAGAAACAACATAGCTATGGCATTAGGAGTCCAGCATAGACTATTAATTAACTGTACTTTTCAAGTCTGTTTTGCAGCCAAAATCGAGCCCTGTTACCATGACTAAACTGCTGCAGTTCCCCCCTTACCTAGCTTGAAGGAAGCCTCAGTTGTTACTGCCGTGCAGACACACCCTTGATCTTAGAGGCTAAGGCAATGGAAAGAGATAATCCTGTGCATCCTTGAGGATCAATTGGCCATATACAGACTTTGGTTTAAAAAGTTCCCTTTTATGTTATTGTTGTTTGCAGTTCTCTTCAAAATGCTTCAGCACTGGCTAGGGTGTCTGTGTTCAGTTCATCTTCACTCCTGTATATGTCCTCCACTTAAAGGCAGATGAGTTGACTAAAGGTTCTTCAAACACACATGATGAGGGCAGTTATAAAAGTCAGTTATAAAACTGCGAGATAAGGGCAAACATATTGTAGTGTTCACTGTGGTACTCTCTCCATTTACATCAAGGATAATCACAAAAACAGAGTAAAGAACAGCAAAAACACAGCAGGCTTTTAGCAGGGCCATTTCATATTCAGATCCATTAATTTGAAATAAAATCACCACCACATTATCGTGCAGCAGAGAAAAGCAGCATGAAGGGCACAGACAAGTGAACAGAACTTCTTGACCTCAGCATCCGAACGCATTTATCGAGTATGTAAAATTGTTGGCATAGATCTCCTCGAAACTGTACAGATGCACAGTACAGCCATAGCTCAACAAGAGAGAGGTATTCTGTGCCCTCTCCTCTGTGTGCATGCTGCTATGTACAGTATGAGTGTGTACGAATACATATGAATTCAGGATCCTAAACCTTCCACTTGTATCGCAGGCCATCTCCTGCCCCACAGGGTGAATCCCACTGAATAACACTGAGTTCCTACAAAAAGACATTCTTTTCCTCCTGTCCAGGTGGAACAGTAAGGCCCCAGAGTGAAAATCATGGTCCAGCTAGCTTCAGCAAGAGCATGACTTCACACCATGACTGTATGTGTATAGATACACGCACACATGTCCACACATTCATTCTGTACATATACAAAGGTACACATACATTTTTACATTCTTTGGTGGCAAAATAATAAAAAAAAACTCAACAAACCACAGGGCTGCACAGACTGTGCATCTTTGCTTAATGAATCTGCTTCAGGAAAACTGGGGTTGCTGTAACAGGAGTTACTTTGCCTCTTTAAGGACTGTTCCTTGCATTGACAAAATGCCATACATTTACAATGACTAAAACGGGGCACAAGGAAAGCCAATAAACACAGCTCACATAATGACAGATAACTCAGAAGGAGCCCCCTCCTACCCACACCAACACACCATGAGAAGCAGCCATATGCTTTCACCTATAAGCACTCAAACACTTCCTCAGTTACTGTCTGGATGTTGTGCTGAGCTGTGGCACACCCTTCTTCTGCCCCGGCTGTGGGGTTTCACTTTTTGTTGCTTATTAAAATTGAACTAACAGAGGACGGGATGTTGGGAGCAGCAGAGGAGGCTGGCAGGTCAATGCCACACCGAAAAGTTGTCAGCCTGTGTGCTTCGGAGAACGGCTCTTCTTGTCGTTACCTCTGGGACATCAAACCTGCATCTCGGAGGTGCTGATGAGGCCCAGTGCTTTGGCTTCTTCTGGTGTTAGTCCGCTCTTTAGTGTCCTCCTCACTGGATGGTCATAAATTCCAAAAGCAGGCAAAAAAAAAAATAAACAAAGGAAATACAAACAATTAGAAGCGATCATTACACAAGACTTTCAGCTGAAAAAAACCCTGTTAATATGCAAGCTGAGTCAAATCAAAAGTTGCTATGTACTCAGGGCCTCAAGTTCAGAAATACTGAGTAATGCCCTATGCCAAATCCACTGGAGCATCAAGTACCCAGCAACTCCAAACAACCAGGCAAAAAGACATTTGTCATTTGATATTTAGTCAACAAAAACTTTTAAGGGAAAACACCACAGCATTTTAAGATTTTTTTTTTCTCTGAAATTGTATCAGTTGATTTTCAGTCCATAGAAAGTATAATCTGCCCTATTATTTTATAGTTTCATAAAGATTTTTTAAAAAAGCTTTTGATCTGTATAAGGCTCAGTTGAATTTATCACTATTAATTCCTATGTGACCCTTTAAAGGTGTAAAAAAAACCCCGAAACTCAAAAGCTAAAAGATTAAAAATGTGACTATTTTATAGTCAATTCAAATCATTAAAACTACCGTCTTCATACATGCTTCCCTTTCTTCTGTAATGTTTCCCTGTCCTAGCCCCATTTGTGTCATCTTTGCCATTAGTAGTCCACAGCATTTTAGTTGAATTTAAACGATAAATCTAGGCCAAAACCTTGTTTCTTAATTTTCTATGAAGTATTCTGAATGGTGGTCCCAACATAAAACTTTTAAAATTTGTGATTGCCTTTTTTATTCAGAAACAAGTGACTATGTGACTGCTCACACTAAGCATTAGCGTCCTCCTAGTTTTATTGGTGCCATGATTTTCAGGTGGATGGGCTTTAGGTCAAGACACAAATGGGGTGTTCACTCCACACTTCGATGTTCCTCAAGTACAAAATGCACATTCAGAAGTTTAAACTGCATGCATGCAAAGCATAAACAATGACTTTATGTTGAACAAAATATAACTGGAGCCCCAAAATGATGAAGTCTAGAGGAAACTCTCAGAAAAACCAATTGCAAACAGTGGTTAAGGACTTCTTGAATCGCTATCATCTAGCACAATTAAGACCTCTAACTTATTGAGATATTCTGTCCATGTAACTGAAACTGGGTGGTCACACTCAAGGGTCTAGCAGGAGTGAGAGGAGGGAATGGATCTGTACAGAATACAAGAGGATAAGTGAAAGGGAAAATACGGCGTAGCTGAACATTTAATACCATGCAGGTAGAATGAATGTGATCTATGTTCGATAGCTTTCATCAGTTACTGAGATTAATCAAATGAGCTGGGAGTGCCACATGTGTAATTGTTCCTCCATTATCAAACACTTCCTTGAGAGTTTTTCCTCAAGGCTCACTCCTTTCTCCTACACTATTCGCATACTTACTAACCACTACCAGGAGTCGGCATGGCAGCCTTTTATGATAGCCACTTTTCCTACAATACTGATCAGCAACATATTCCAAGTTTAAAGAATGCTAAGATTAACAAAGACTAAAATAGTACTACCAGAAGAGCAATACACTTCAAAAAAATGCTCTAGTCTCCATGGTGCAGAATACCCAACACAGACTTTTGAGTCAGTCCTCATCACTGTCACCCTTTTATACTTCTCAAATTTGATATCCAAATGTCCACAGTGACAAATGTTAATTTCTAGACACGAGGTGTGAAATACCTTAGGGTCTTAAGGTCTCAGTGAATCACCCAATGCTTATTTCTGTATCAAAATGAACTATATCAGGAGTGAAAGAACAAATCCAAGAAAGCTGCAGTAGAAACATTTCTGTCTTATTAAAAGCAAAGATTTCCCTGTGCAGTTCACCCACTTAGGGGCCTGCACTGCCTCTCCCCTGAACATGTTTTTTCCTGTACCCTCTATAACATGCAGCCAAATGCAACCATAGCTAGCTTGGCCACCAGGTAGTAGAGTCATATTAAAAAATATGCATACAGGAGACTGAACTTTCACAGGATGACTGTCTAGATGACATTACGTCTTCCCACTGAAGGCAAAAGTGAACTGGAAAACCGACTGCAGAACAAATTTCCACATTTTAGACACTTTTGCAGAAGTGTCAAACCAAACATACTTATGACTGCTCTCACACATATCCCCAACTCTCTCAGACCACACTCACTCACATTTACAAACTGAGCATAATAACCACTGTAAAACAAAGCTATTTTTCTTGTCAGATGCTAAGACAGGAAGAGTGAAGGAACAAGCAATTGTTATTCCTGTTTGTAAACATTTAATAGGAACTGAGGTGCTCTGCTAATACTGGTCAGGTACGGGAATAAGCAAAATTCTAGTCTTATTTATGACAATGTAAATCTGGAATAACGTTCTTTAGGTCAGTGCAATTACTACTGCACAAATAACTGGGCTGAGACTTTAACAACTGAAAGGGAAATGTGTGCCTCTGTAACTTCCACCAAGCAGAATACAGTTTAAATTCCTCCATCAGCCTGAGTGACAGGATTACTAGCTTACTAGGAAAAGTCAAATGGATTTACAATAACATATAGGTCTCTCTGAAGAAAATTACAGGAGTTTATATTCAATCATAATCAGGAGTTAAAATATCATGGTAGAAGCCATCTTCATGGAAAAACAAGGAAGAAAACTAACAAGTCTTCTTTACATAAGCCAAATTTCTCTCTGAATCTTCAGATGCCTACCTATCAAACATACTAAAGTTGTAGTCTGAGGACCTCATGTATTAACCCTTGGATGACTGAAAAAAAGAAATACTGTGTGCAGCACATGACAAGGTCAAGTGCCCTGTTCTGGGTTTGCCGTATGACACACACAACAGAGGCCAAACCGGGTTTGTACTTTTTCTGCCACTGCAAAACAAGTAGGAATGACAATACTCAATGAATTGCTGGGACATATGCAGATGTAATTAAACAAAACAATCTTTTTGGATCCCTCAGTTGAGTGTTGTAACTTACCTCAGCTCTCCTATAATACAGAGAAAGATAACTTGGATTTAAGATATTCCTGTGAACTAAGCTTTTAAGGTCAGCAGTTAGGAGAAAAGAGCTCCAAACAATGTAGACTTTGGAGGTCATAATGAGATTGTCAAGAAAATAGTTAATAAAAAGCAAAGATGGGAAGAATCTTTTCAGTGACAGAATGGTTCCCATGAACACTGATGGCTCCTGACTTGTATAAACTAAGCATGTGGGGCCAAATACTGTCAAGTACTGTGACTACTGGCAAGATTAAAGCTGTCCACCATCAACAGGCAACCGGAAGGATAAGAGCTGACAGAATCAAGATCCAGACTCAAATGAATGAATTCTTGCCCCTTCAATGGAACAGGCCAGTCTGACAGACGAATCCACTTCTAGTTTGAAGTATTTTGTACTTAGGGAGATGAAAGTTCTAGCCTCACTATTCTCTGCACTGGCTTGTGGATGATGTAGCCAGGAGAAAGCTGAGTTATCTACAGGAGCAAGGACTAGTCGTGGAGGTAGGTGAACCTCGTCTTGACATGCTGCTAAACAGATGTCCTCAGACATTTGTCTATTTCCTCATAAAGTGCTTGGTAGGGTTCCTCTGCCTTAGGAAAGGTCATGAACATGTTCACTCATCAAAATTGAATGCAGAGAGATATTCTCCTTCCATGTTTTATAGGCATTGCAAAATTACATTTCTTAAAGTAGATCTTCACTCTCCCCTCTTCACTAAACTCTGTCGTGTCTCTAGCTGGACTAGACATAATATCTTGGCTTGTAAAACTCTTGGCCTGCTGCAGATCACATTAAACTGAGTTATGGAATGTATTTTGGAGGCAGTGACAATAAAAATAAGACTTTCAAATGACCTTTTAGGTTCTTTAAGCAATTTTTAAAACATTTGCTAAAGAAACATAACATAGAGAGAAAATAATTTTTACTCTTGTCACAAGCAAGGCCTGCTGAGATCCCATAACCAAGAAACTAAATGTTGTTTTTCTGAAGTCAGAGGGTATGATATTCTTTGTTAATCAGGAAATCTAGAATTTTATTTGATATCCTGGCAGAATGTAGCATGCTTATGATGAACTTGATGAATTTGACTCTGCCTGTTGGGTCAAAATCGACACAGATACATAGCCCTCACAGTACACTGGGAATGTTTCAAAGAAGAGTAATTCCCTAAGTGTAGTTTTGTCAGAGAATATAATTATCTAAGGTTTGGTTGTTTTTTTAAAGAGCAAATAGCATTCCTAATTTCCCCTCCCCCTGCTTTTGCTTTTTTTTTTTTTTTTTTTTTTTTTTTTTTAAGATTCAATGAACAGTAAAGATCAGTCTGGCTGGCACCATTTATTCTTGCATTTGCAATGGCTTTTGGCATGTGTATCTACACTTGTAGGGATGAGTCACTTGAAATGCAGAATAGATATGACCATTCTCCTGCTCAAGAAGTCACAGAATTAGTGTCATTCCTATTACAAAGATGTGGCAGCCACAGAACTTTCTTTTGGTCCCAGCTGCAAAGGTAACGCAGTTTGGATTTGGAATGAAGAAAATTCCAGTTGACTGTAAATTACACAGCGAGAACAGCAGGAAGGGCAGATTATCAGAGGCAATACAGGCCAGCCCCATCATCACATTTCATTTCACGTATTTTAGTTATATTTTCTGTTACCTACCCACATGCAGCTTGCATACTCAGTCTATTTTCTCATGTATTTACATTTAACATATTCTCTTGGACTTTACTCCAACGAGTCCAGCAATGGCAATTTGCAAGTCAAAAGTTCAATCCAGACAGTCTTGCTCATATTCTCTACTTTAATCCTTTTGTGCATTTGTGGTTTTGTGTCACTATCTATACGTTATACTTATGTTTAATTATGCATATATCATCGCTTAATACAAGTAGACCTAAATGCTTAATAAAAATACTAAAACATTATATGTAGAGATATTCTTACAGAGGTTTATAGGTAAATATTTGGATTTTATCACGCACTTGACTGAAGAAGTACATCCAA